CTTAGGTGCATAGGGCTAAAACCAATTCTATAATATATGAATTATGTCCAAAGTTATTTTAAATAGAGTTTTTAATTAAAAAATTTATAAAATATATTTTTTACTGATCTCTGTGATTCTTTGTTCTGAAACTCCTGCATGTCATATGCCTGATACACAAGAACAGCCCCATGAGACAGGAAAACACTCCAATGAAGTAGGCCAAAGAAAGAAGACTCAAATTGCATGAAGCCATGAGTAGGATTTTTCATGCATTTCTTGTCATGCTGAAGCTTCTAGTTTCTAGGACAATAATATGTGTTTCCCTTGTCCTGACCCAACAAAATGTTTCTGCTCTGGGGCATAAGAATTTCTAGAGTTACATTTAGGTGCCAAGCATGTGTAGTGAAGAGTGAACCCAGCTGGCATGCTCACGATGACCAAACTGTGTTGATCTTACTTTAACCCAGTACATTGTCCTACAATTAATTTGCAAATAAATGATATATGTGCTTTCTAGACATTCCAGGATAGTTAGAGAAACTGGCATCTAAGCCATATGGAATAAATATACTGATGAATTTCTTCTGGGATAGACTAAAATTGATCTAGAATAAAACTTTTGTGTATTTGGACCGTTCAAGCTAGACTAAAAGAAAATCTGGGCCTCAAGGCTCAATTGGAAGAGAAATATGGAATGATGCTATGCTGACAATTGGGGGTCCCTGCCATCCATCTTCAGAAAAGACTGCAATCTAGTGAGGGCCATTGTCAACTTATGAGTTGAACTGAAGATGACGTCCTCCTGGGCAGTGCATGTGCTCATTAATTATAGACATGCCATGCTGCTAAGTACCCTGGGGACTACAGAAAAAATTAAGAAATACACGATGCATATCCAGTAAGGAGGCACCAGAGACCAAAGCCAGAGTTCTGGCATCACAGAGCCTGGGTCCAAAGCCATGCTGGGCCACCACCATCTGTGTGACCCAACGGACTAAGGCCTAAGTGTTGTTTAACCACATGTGTGAAAAGAAGTGCAGAGAGCCTGCCTGCCAGGAGGGGATACCGGGGGTGTGGCACCCAGGTGGGTCAGGGCACCGCATCCTGATGGGGAAGCTTCTCAGCCCCACTGGTGACTCTCCTAGTCAGGGCAGCCCTGGAGAAGGCGCGTGTCACTCCAGGTGAGCAGGGACGCTCGGGGTGGGGGGTTGGGCGGGGTGGGTAGTCTGGGGTGGTCCTTTGAGGAACCCGACTTTATCTGAGTGGCTCCCGAGCTCGGCTTCGAGCAGGTCATGACCCTTGGGAGAGGGACGGTCCCNCTAATGGCTGCCTGGAAGGCAGGGTTGGCATTTTCAAAAGCCAATTGTTTTACATAGTCAAAATTAGTATCAACATTACTCAGTATTCTTTCTGTTATTGTCCTTAATCTGTTTACAAAGTCTGAAAAAGGTTTGTCAGGCCCTTGTTTTACCCCAGTGAGTGAAGCGCCTGAGTCCCCTTTA